AAAAACGACAAGAGGGATAGAGAGTTGCCCTGTCGCGAGAAGGTTGTTACCGAGGAAAGTATCGTCGCCAACAATGGTTGCAATTAAAAACTTCCTTCTCTGAACTTCGTAGCAGTCTTTACGTGTGGTCTGTTACGCAATCGGGTTATGCTACTTAGGAAAAAGTTTCCGCTCGTGCAAGCAGCGCATCTCCAAGACTTTTCCTTCCGGTTGGTCCCGCCGAGAGTTACGACACTTCCGATGCATTCGACGATCCCAAGGCAACTTGTACTACTTGAGCCAACTTCCGCTAGCTAGGAGAGCGTTCGCAACTTTCTTTTGCCGGCTGATTCCAGCCCGATGAGTTACAACATTGCACTGTCCGCTCCGCTATCGAATTTTCACGTTTAAGTAACGTTATTTTCACGTTTCTTTCTTCTTTGGTACACGGGAAACGTTTTTGCATCGGCAACTTGACTGGAAACTGAACTTTCCTTCTGCTGGTTACGAGTGCCATCGAGTTACACCACTCTCTTTATCGTCGCAGAGTTATTCGAAGGTCACCGATGAAAAATATCGAATCGCGTCTCTTGTCTCGTATAGAAAAGCGAGTTTAAGATACGATATGAAAAGCACAGAAGCAAAATGTACATTCCCGTCGATCTTTTGATTATAATTAAACAGCAAGATCATAACGTGGCAAAATTGGAAAGACAAACGATCCGTCAGGTTCGAATAAAATAGTTAGCTGTGAGTAGAAAGACAATTTTGGTATCGTCGCATCGATCGACAACTTGCTGAATTTTCACGCCGCTTTCCTCCAAACAATAGGAAATTTCACTTATCGTTCCTCTGCTTGTAATCTTTGCGCGTCGTTGATTCTTCAAGAATTTATACAGCATTCTCTCAGTTTTCCATCATACTGCGATCTTAAAGACCTCTCGTACGCGTAACAGACACATTCTTGCCACATTCTCCGAATCGATTCTCACATGTTACCTATGCTCAAGCATAACTCAAGCATTTGCTCGCTCCTAAATCACAACCAATCCTCACACTCGTAGTATGTACAATTCAAATTTGCTATTTTCTAGAAATCCTCGATGAGGTTCCATTGTCAGGTGACCGTTGAAACGATAGGTCATACTACTTGAGAAACGTCTGTTCCTAATGATATAATACGTGTATGAAACGTGTATGATACACGTGTATGATACACGTGTATGAAAACCACATATTCAGTGCAAAATACAATTACTCGGTGTTTCACCTGTTAATCGTGTCGAAAATCTCTTAACGTTGAATACAGAAAATATAATTTTATTATGTTTCAAGGAGGTATAGAACTTATTCATAATCAGAGAAGCAGATTTGATAGTCTTATTTCAATGCCAAGTTCTTCATTTTGATACAGTTCTAGCACTTTTAACGATGAATTTTACAATCCCCACTTCTCCCACCACCACTCTCCTATAGCACGGTTAACACGTTTCGCGTTGTATCGAGACCGTATTACACAATTCCCCGCCGTGTTATGTGTATGTACGTATGTGCATCGAAATCGTATTTTCAGAGTACCGAAACCCGCTAAGAAAGGCTACAGTGTATTATTATTTATCAAATGTTAGCGGACGTTGCGTTTGTAAGTACGCAGCGTGAAAACTGCAAAGGGTTACATCCTCAGACGTTAGTTTCCTTGATTACAAGCATTATTATTCGTCAAATTGGCAAAGACTCCCCGTTTCCGATAATACGTTTACGAAACTTTTTTTTATCTTCTCGATTGAGAGACACAGCAGCTTGGACTCGCTATCCGACCTAATATCCAGTTATGTTCGTTGAACAAAGTTCTCTTCGTGGCTAATACACTTAGAAGACGCTGCTGATCGATCCAACTGTGATTTACTACTTGGATAGAGTCTATCCAAAGTCTTCTTCGCTGTAGAAAACCAATCTAGAAAGCTTTTCCATTGAATATTGCGAAATCGTCGATACCGTGTCCGCCAACATATAGGGTTATACTACTTGAACGCTGTTTTATTCAACAGTAATACATTTTAAAATTGCTTGTATCTATCTATGCCTGTGGCTCTCTGTCAGAATTTCCAACTATGCCGTAGTTTCTAAACATGAAATCAAAGAGAATCTAACATGTAAATGAATGCACATACTCTATACAGTTTATTTTTAATTCTTAAATATTTTCCCTCGATTTGTTACGCGAACGTTTCAAAGTATCGCGCGATATTTTACACGTAGAAGGGAAGAACGAAATCGTATCAGTCCAGAATTGAAAAAATGATTGAATTGAAAATTCGAGAAATCCTGGAAAATGCAGAAAGCTTGTTTTACCGCTTCCGAATTCGATCGATTCCGCCGACAAAGTCTTTGGTATAGCCAGAGACGCAATTATCTTTCATCTCTCGACAGAAGATAGATTGCTCGTTGTAACGAATTCGTAAGAAGCTCGAACAAGCATTTCCTAATTAAAATTATTTAACATTTAACTCGATGTCTCGAAGTTGCGTCGAAATTAAAAATAATTTTCCATTATTACTTTTAATTTTAAAGCCCTTTGTGTTTGAAAATTATTTCGTTAAAAAGAATCCTATTACAGCTATATTTAAATTTAGATGTTGCGCGTTCAAAATATCATAATATCATTATATTTTTTAAAACGATAATAAACGTCCGAATTACGCATCTTTTTCGCGCAACTATTCATAATTACCATATTTTTCGTATTCGTATGAAATACGTTAATTATATAAATCTGCAGTCGGTGAGAAAAATAAAGCAGCGAATGCGCAATGTTCACAATCGTTTCAGTGAAATGTAATTGTTCGATTTCGCTGTTAAATGTTATGTGGCGACAGACATCAAAGATATCTCCAGATAAAGCATAGACATACCCTATAGCTAGACGCGGCCACAAGAAGCCGACCGTAGCAGCAAGAGTAAACGAGGGAAAACTGTGCGCTAAGCTGGTGGTTTATGGCACCCGATGACTGTATGCAAATAGACATTCTTCTCTACAAACCGTGACCCTGTCACAAACTCATCAAGCATAAAATAGAGGGCAATTGTCCAACAATTCTCGACAAAACTTCAACTTCCACCAAACTACTTCGTACCAAGATGTTATTATTATATCGGGTTAAAACAAGGTTAATTAAATTAAATCGACGTGGACATGAAACGACAACAACCAACGTGTGCCACGCTCTCGTGGAACGAAAGGGAGCAATACCCGGGCAAACGGTGAACCAAGCAGACTAACTACCGTCTCTCAATTCCGTCGCAATGATGCCAGTGACGGGACAATTTGTTCGATAAGTGTCGCTGCGACTGACAGCCGTGAAATAGGCCGATAGAATGGCTCTTCTTTTTAACCTTTCCTCCCTTTATTTCGTTTTCTTACAGCGAAATACGAGGGATGCTGCGTAAATGAAAACCGTACCAGCGCACTTTTACAATATAATTACGAGACACGGTATATATTTCCTTCGTAATTGATTGAAAATCGAGTCTCCTCGACGATGAATTACCTGCTGTACAGGATTCGACTCGTATATATGTAACAGATACGACTATTTCGCCGAACTTGAAGATAGCGCGAGCGAAAGAGAAAGAGGTCCGGGAGTCGGCTTAACGGAAGGAAACACGTCGGTTAGAATATGTTTGACGCAGCGACGGAACTTTTTTACTTTCAAACTTTATCGAATAAATGAAAAAAACTATTACCAATGTAATTCTAATTCCTCTATCTGATTGGAACAACACGAAACACGATATAATTTGCAGCATATTGGCTTATTTGACGACATTCGTTTATTTTCTTTCGCCTATAGAATATACGTACATGTGATTGTATGTGATTTAAAGTATATCGCGTTTCGTCTTATTTCATTCACAGGAATTATTTCCGATTACTGTTATTTAATATCCACTTCCTTTTTACAAATGGGTACATACGTACAATCATATCGATGTATTTCTAAAAAGAATTTGAAGGACCGAAACATTTATCTGACAAAAATTTTGGAATAAATTTAATTGGGTCTTTAATATATAATTTTTGTATTATTGTATTATATATATATATATATATATATATATATATATAATCTTTTTTCTTTTTGTTTGTTTCTTTTTCCTTAACAAAGGCGAAAGTGAATAAGTTATTGCGTTACATTTTATTGACATTTTACAATATTTAAGGCTAAAAAGAGAAGCAGAAATTTCTAAAGGAATGAGAGCTTAAAAGAAGTTTATAACAGCGCTGATAGATGAATATCGTTGACAAGTCATTGCGTGGCAGTTGGAAAAAGAGGGACTCGGAGAAAGAGAGCGGTACCACACGAGATAGAGATAGATAGATGAGAGAGAGAGAGAGAGAGAGAGAGAGAGAGAGAGAGAGACAGAGA